CTATTAATAATATTAATAAGTAAACATAGTTTATGCTTGGTAGGAAAACACAAGGGTTACTGCTGTTATTGTTACAGTAGTGTCTTATTACATGACTCATAGCGTTTATCCGCTGATTGAGATAATAATAAGAAAAATGTTTAGGGACCCTTCTCAATTTCGGGGTACTTTGACGGGATTTATGCGTATAAATTGTGGTACGGCATTTATACGTATAAATCCGGAATTTATACGATGATGGGATTTATGCACGACATAAATAAGAAACCGGACCAAAACATTTGGTGCTCACGTTTGTGGTATGTCTACTTTTTTCCATTTTTGGCGCTTCATTTTTTAACAATTTTCTTATAAAAACGGAGGGTTGTGCATGATGGATCTAGTATATACCGTTTCTTTCAGCTTTGCGAGATTAAGCTTGCCCAAGAACTTTCCGAGGTCAATCTTGTAAGAAGATTAATAGTCGAGACACACTTTCTCAAGGTAAAGATTTCTTGATGATGGTTCTTGATGGATCAAATATTTCAATTTTCACATAATTTTTTCATTCAGCATCGTATCGATTATTACTATTCCAACCGAAACAGCTCCTGGATCTCCTCTCTGAAATAATTTTTCTCATAATCCAGTAACCACACTTCAGGCGCCCAAAGGTGGAATACCAGTTGTTACCCTGACCAAACAAAAAACAGGAAGTAAAAAGAGCATCAAGCAAATCTAGAATTTTCTTTGAAACTTATTGTTATTGCTTTGTGCTTAAAATTTTTTTTAAATACTATAAAAGGAAGTATTACAGAAAATATATGTAGAATATAAATCATTAAATAGAAGATCTAATAAAATTCGCTCATGTCAGGCTTAACTTGCAATTACAATAAATAAAACAAGAGAAATAATGTATATGTATTTACAACATTTTGTTATGAAAAAAATAATGCACATGCTGCATGTGTGTCTCAATCTGTCAAACTTAACTTACTATTCAATAATAAAATTTTCATTTGGGACATGCTGCAACAAAACTAAAACCAGACAAAGTGAACATTTGACTGCATATGCATGAGCTAAAAATGGTTGATTACTATGATCAGGATTGGAAAATTCAATTCATACAGTCCCTTTTCGGGGAGCTATTTTCCCTAGGAAGTATGATCATCAGTTTCACAAACAACACAGTTGCTGAGAAATATGCCAGAAGAATAACATGGCAGTGTGTTCTTTTATATAAAATGCAATGAGACAGATGATGAAAGGAGACAACATAAACAATGGTAAATACTAAAGGTATGCTGAATATAACAACAGAATTTCAGGAGATATTGAAACATAATGTAAAAAGAAGCTGGGAGTCATTTCCAATAGATATCAAATATTAATAGCCAACAAACAAAATATGGAGGAACTACACAAGCGGACATAAGTATCCGAACGGTTGTATTACCTAAACGTACATAATAATAACCCTTTAAATTTTCCAGGA